ACTTTCTAATGTATTAAAATGTCGTTCATCATCATTATTCTGTAAAGAACTAGAAAATATTCAGCCAGATTAGTATAATATTAAGATAATCGTCAAGCTGCTTACATTTTGATGTTATCCTTCAGTAAATTATGAAAATATTTATCATCATTTTATAAAATTCACACGAATTACTATCAATTTTTTTTTATAGATATATTTAAAGTGTGATTGTTAATTTAGAAAAAGTTGTAACGCTAGTTTCTGATGAAATTGAATTTGCAGAATTAATCAACAAATTAGAAACTCTTCTTATTGATGCTAAAGCTTCTCGTTTTTCTCTTATTTATCTTATTTATAGAACTATTTTTGTCCAAATCTAATTTTTGATAGTTTGATTTTAATTCAATTTTTACATTAGTGTCTCAATAGAAGTTAAAATTTTGGAATGTATTATTATCAACTGGGATTTTCTCAGAATATCGATTTGCCTACAAATGTTGAAGAATGAACTTAATTTCTTACTCTACAACAATGCTTACCATGTGTTCGGCTTTCAAATTTGAAATCTAATTAGGCCTTATAAAAAAATTTTTTAATAACAATTTTGGAAAAATATTAAATAATAGATGTTTCAACTTAATATAATTTATTAAATATAACCTATTTCAAAAATAATTCTTTTGGTATTGAAATACTATTTGTTACCCAGAGATTTTCCCTGGTTAAAACTCAATAAAAAATTTTGAAGTGGTGATAAGGCGTAAAAGTCCGGAATAATCACATGATCTACAGAACTTTACACCCTGGTTCTTGATACAAAAAAATTTAGCTGTAAATTTTCGTAATTCTGCCGAAATTTGTGACGTAATAAAAATTTTCCAGCTGAAAAGTTACGGCTAAATTTTCACGGACGTTCAACTTTGAACGCGAATATCTCCGCAAATATCAATTCTACAGGAATAAAACACATGTTATCTTATAGCAAAGAACCAGGGCTTTCGATCTATCGCTTCCTGTCGCGTAAATTACGGCCGAAGTCAAAAAAATAGAATTTTTTGGGCGTAAAGTTCCGTAGGTTGTGATTTTTCCGAACTTTTACGCCTAATTAAATTTCCTGATGAATTAATGCAAACCATAACCCCTGACTTTGATATAAATATATAATATAATGTATTACAGGGGTAAAGAGAATTCCTTTCCAGTTAAACATAGTTATTTTTTATAAATAAACAAAATGCTAGTAAAAATTACATAATTCCCTGATCATAAAATTTTGCTTTGATTTTTACCAATTTTAAATGCCGGTAAAAAAATACTGTAAAACTATTGTTGTACAAAACGGAATTTATTTAATCTGATAATGCTGTGCTACTAAATTTTTTTTTTACATTTTAATAAGTTAAGAAATAAAAAAAATAAAAAAATGAAAGAAATAAGAAAAATGTATGAAATGTATGAAATTATGAATGTATGAAATGAGAGAAACAGAAGAGTAGACATATTGTTACTTTAAACTTCATTTAAAACTATAATTTATTGCTAATAATAAATTACATATATTATTAATATAAATTATATTAAAGCACGTGAGAATTTATGTATATTTATAATTATTGAAATAAGATAGTTCAATATCATAAAAATTCTCTAGTCAATAATAAACTAATTACATATATATTATATTACAGGTTGTGAGTATTTAGATTAATAATTATTGAAATCAATGTTTCAATATATTATCTAATCAATTATAACCTAAAATTAAATTATATTACAGTAGGGAGTATTTAAGTTTATAATTATTAAATTTAATTCAATATCAAATAATAATTCTTTAATTAATTATCAATAATATTTTTAGGTCTTTTGAAAAGTGTAGTAAATGTCATCAAAATATTATTAGAAGAAATTGGTGCCATCCATGTAATGTTAAGCATTTTCAAAACAAATTTTATAAATGGATAAATGGACAAGTGGAAATAAAGACATTAATAAATTTATTCAACAAATACTAAATGCAAATTAGTATAATGTAACACTGACATAAGTACAGACAAGAATATTGACAATTATACTGACAATAGAATTGATGTGAACATTAACATAGGTATTAACAAGGATATTGACAAGGCAAACATAAGTATTGACCTGAATACTGACATGAATACTTACAATAATTACAATAATTATAAAGTATATACTATAAGGACTGAGTTTTTTTCAATTTAACTCAGTTAGAATAGTTAGAAAAATTAGAAATATGTAAAAGTCTAAATCAATTATAACTTCTAATTGTATTAAATTATTAATAAAGTTTTCATAACAATTATAATACCTTTAGTAAATTCTTTTTTTTAGTGACATTTTGTTTAATGACTGTGTGTATTCCTTAGTAAAAAATCTTTCTTTGTGTAGCTCTAGTGTTCCTAACAAGTCAACTCCCAAATCAAATGAACTAGAATTTCATATGAAATTTAATATATGGATTACTAGTTATACCTGTTGCCAAATTCAAAATCCAAATGCCAAAATTCCAAATTCCAAATACTATGAATATGGAATTTTGGGATTTGGGCAACAGGTATATTACTAGTGCTTCTAATGAATTGATCTCCAAATCAAACAAATCAGAATTTCATATGAAATTTAATATATGGGTTACAACTTATTATATTTTCATTTTTATAATAGTATTTTATATTATGTGAGTTATATACAAGTTAATAGTTGACCTGTTCCGAGCACTATGGATTATGACCTACAGTGAACTCTCTATAAATGTACACTTGGAGAATCAGCATTAGGGTAAATTTATAGAGGGTTCACTGTATTATGTTTCTAATAGTATGTGAGTTAACAAATTAACTTGTTTAGAGCTCTATACAGTTCTACTTAGAATTAATTTATCTTAGTGACATTCTGCTTAGTAACTGATGTATTTTTCTTGGTGAACTTTTAATGTAGTTTTATTGTCTTAGTGATAATTCTTAATGATAATCTTAGTAATAATCTTAGTGAACTACTTAGTATTAATAGTATTTATAAAACCTAACACCTATCTCTTTCAAATAAAACTCACAATACTAAATCCTTCACTTTTTATATTTCATTATAGTATAGCCTATATATGTTATTAAAACTATTGAATTAAGTCAGATACAAAAAATTCTAAAAAATTGAAATTGAGTCATATGAAAAATTAATACAATTGATGCAATTACACAAACACAATTAAAATTTCAGAAATTGAGTCAAAAGCTTTTTACTTTTGACAATATATATAGTATAACACTAGTTAAATGAAGAAAAACAGACAAAATTTTTAGAGCAAATAGGGAGATATGCAAATAGACAGGGAGATGATATGTAAATAAGCAGGGAGATTTGAGATGATATACAAATAGGCAGGCTAATTTTTTGAATAATATGCAAATAGGCAAGCCAATTTGTAAATAGACTAAACCTATTTGTGTCAAAAATTTTGCTGATTTTTGATCATTTGACATGTGCCCTTTTCAACTTTAGTATATCCTGTATAATAGCTATGTGATCTTTTATACAATAGTTTTTCTGTTATTAGTTATTAGTTACGCATGTTAAATGATTAAAAATTGATAAAATTTTGGAACAAATTTGCTTAGCCTATTTGCATATCACACACAAATTGGGCTACTTATTTGCATATTATTTACAAATCTCCCTACCTATTAAGGCCTGTTTGCATATCATCTAAAATCTCGTGCCTATTTGCATATCATTTACAAAACTCCTTGCCTATTTGCATATCTCTCTACCTATTTGCATCTAAAATTTGTCTGTTTTTTTTTCATTCAACCAATATTATCATGCTCTTGTAAAGATGAATCATAATTAACACTATGAACTTTATATAAAAGGAAAATTTTTGATGCACTCTTTCTACCATTATCACAATAATAATTCTAATAGGTTGATAAAACATTTAATAAAGTTTAGTATTTATATAATGGTGAATTTCACTTACACATGTAAAAATTGGTAAAATTTTAGGTGCAAATCAGCTCAGCCTATTTACGTAAATGATATTCATTTAGAAATGAACCTTATTCGTGTATATATGCTAACAACCATTTTTTTTTAGTTATAGATGTATTTAATCAACGTTTCAGATAATGAGCCTTTTATGGTTATATCTTTTGATAATATGAATGCGGGACTTAATAAGTCTGAAGGTTACAATAACAATTTTTGGTAGAGTTGCATCTGAATTCGAATCAATTAATGGACCTATTGCAATGCTCTAAAGTGAAAATAATCAATTTTATTCACTTGTCCAAAGCATGGGTCGAAGAGGATCTGACCAGCAAAATGAAGCAAATCAATCTGAAATTCTTCTGCAAGTTCTTCATCGGCAGTCTCTTCTTCCGGAAGTTCTTCTAGTAAGGAAAATGAAATCATGATTTGCATATATTAGGATATTCTATAACTTCGACTAACATATTTTATGATGGAATAATGATACGTTTCTGATTGCAGGGTCGAGTAAAATAATATTTAGAGGTATCAATTTAACTATTTGGATCTTATTTAAGCAAATTTTCGACTAAATCAAAACTGAAACAGGACATGTATATCTTAGTGTGTCTTATTGCGGCAATGGAAATTCGTGTACTTGATGGGAATATTAAGAAGATGACTATACAAGGCTTTTATTAAATAAATATTAAGAAGAGGGATGGTTACATTAGCACTTTATATGAAATTGGTTTATGGGTGGATGATAACAATCCAGGTAGCGGGGAAGGAACTGCCGTCATATGGGTCAGGGCTCGAGTACTTCCTCCCTTTTGACCTACTACTCTATCATTTATATATCATATTATTACTCTTGCTGTAATATGAAAACAATAAAGTTTCGCCCGAATTAGGCTTGAATTTTTTAATCATTTGTGCAATTATATTCCACAAAATGTATGTCATTAATAGTATTAATATTGTATATCTCTATGCAAATTTTATATTTCTTAAAATCATAAATTCTATTTAAGGAACATATCAGCATTTTCTCGAATGTAGAATTCTATTGCTCGACATTGGAAGGTTACTGTACGAGTTTTTGGATGATAGGCAAATACATTAGCCTCCAAAGCGTTGTTAGCTTCTTCAGGATTATTGAAAAATTTTCGATATGTCAAATAGTCAAGCATTTGGTTGGAATCCAACAAAGTTTTGATGACGCGCTTTCCTTCATGATATGGTTGGTCTTGATGTAGTTTTGCGGCATCAAATTTATCGACTTTTTTATGTCTGCAAAAAGAGATACCTTCGAAGGACTATCCTTTAAGAAACTTATCTGCAACGGACTTCAGATCCATAATTCGCCCACCAACTAATTCATACAATTTTTTTGCTTCTACTTTGTCAATTTTACGCTTATCAAAGATTCCTTTCACCGATTTCCATCACTTTTTTTCGCTCGTGACCAAGCACTACGTGCTAGAAATAAGAATATCGATCACAAATATGCCTGTGAAAAGAGCCGAAAAAAAACCTTGCTAACACTTACATCCCATCCTTCTAGGTACCGAACTTTCACTGCAGCAATGTACTTTCGATCATCCGCATTATTTTTAGCACCATCTTCATAGACAATAACTGGTGGTCTGTCTTCATTATTTGCTTTGTATACTTCGGAGGCACATCATTTAGAATAGGAACTTTTAAATTCATCATCTTTATTCTATCCAAAAATTTTTCGTATAAGTTGCACCGTAAGTGAGACATCTTCGAAGATTAAATTAAGACCTTTTCCAAATTCATCACTCAGCTTGTTGAAATTTTCAGGAAATTAATATATATAACACCTTTTTCCGTCTTTGTTTGCCGATATCCTAAGCAATGTTGTTTTACCAATCCCACATTCCCCGCAAACCATATGGTAATAAGCCTGATTTGGTTTGTTTGAAAAATTATCATGAGGCGCTCTATATCTTTAGATTGAGGAATATATTCATCATCTGACACTGTTGAGAACCTTTCTCCATAGTTTCGTTGATGCGTTTCTCATTAGACTCATACTCCCAACAAACAAATATATCATCCCCTACTAGAAAGAGAAAAATACCACTCAACAAAAGTCTCCACATTCCAAACATTTGCTCTTTCCAGTTGATGTTATGTAATTTGGCTTTTATGACTTGTACTGGAAATTTTCTTTTCACGTTGAAGAAAACAGACTTCCATTTTTCAGATTCCTTAGAAATGGAATTTGTATAAGATCTCGGAAGTGAAGAATGAAACAGACGAGGGTTTGAATTTCTTAACGCATGTTTTGGTGGTTGAAAGAATAGAATTTTACGGATAACAAGGCGAGATGATAAAACATTCCTGCGAAAATTCTGGATCATAATAGAAAACATTCTCACTAGTTGTCTCGTTACTGAAGAATAACATTAAAAGTTTGGACAGATATATTTGTCTTGATAATAATTATTTTAATATTATTCTCATTTGGCTGAATATTCTCTAATTATTTACGGAAATATTGTTACCGACATTTTAATACATTGATTTTTCATTATTTAATAAGGTTTTGGGATAACTTGTCAAAGTTTTAAACCATTTTTTTTTTCCTTTTTTTTTGAAGGTTACGATAGACAAAAATAAAATATTTTATACAATGTGTTATGTTATGTATGAGAATTCGTATTCTGGCAAAAATATCATAACAAATAATTAAAATTTTTTTAGTGGGCGAATATTTTATTTTATAATATACAGTATAATAACTTGAAATTTAAGTAAAATAAAAAAAAATTTCATACGTAACATTATTTTATTCTTAAATAATTAATTTCCAATTAGTTTTTCTTAGTAACTTTAAATATTTCATATTTGACAATTGAAAGCATTTTGATGAGATTCTTATAGATTTTTCATAAAAAAGACATCCACAGTAATTAATATTATCTAAAGTAAAATTAGATTCTTTACTATGCAAAAAGAAATCAGATCCAAAACGTGGACCATATATATTTTGATTATCTTTTGATACATTACGAATTGCTAATTCGGAATTTTTTACTCTACTAAGAATTGAATTTTGGATATTCCCATTTTTTAATGAAAAATGAAACTATCATTTGTTTCCATCCATTTGCCATTGGTATGTGTATTATCCCATGCTAAAGGATTATAACCTCCAATAATTTCGTCAGTTCCTTTAACTTTTGCTACAACTACTGTATTAGAATGACCATGGCAAATATTCCAGAATGTTTGAGGAGCAAATCCATCTCTAGTTCCAAGTAAAATTAATTGAAAATCATAGGGATTATTTGTTGTTGGATAATTAATTGTTTTACGGTCAATCCAGGTAGAAATTTCCGCTGCATATTCTTCAGAAATTATAGTTGAAAAAGGTTCTTTTGCACGAGAAGGTAATTCAGCAATTAAAATTGATCTTGGTGGTAAAATGACTGATTTTAATGGTCTGTCAGGAACTGCTATATGTTGATTAATATCTTTCCAAAGTTTTTTATTGAGAATTTTTTTCAAAGGTCTAATTTTATCATAAATTTCAGCACTTGAAAGTTGAAAGTAACGAATATATGGGAGGCATTGTTGTAAAGAAGTTTTTAGTGTAAAGAAATTTTCATTGGTCCATTCTTCAACATTTGTAGGTAAACCAGGATTCTGAGCGATTCCCCAGTTGATGACATAATTCCAAATTTTAATTTCTTCAATTTGCAGATTCGGGAAGAGAGGTAAAATCATTAAAAATTTTCTAAATCTTTGAAGTTTTGTTTTTCAAAAATATTATGATAGACCAGAGAAAAATGAGTTATTAACCAAGAAGCTTTAGTATCAATAAGAAATGTTTCTAATTTTTTAGCTAATTCCTCAAATTCAAATTCATTAGTAGTTAACATTAAATCAAAAATAAATTTAGTTTCTGTATTTTCCAAATTAACAATCCCACCATAAATATATCTACATAAAAATTAATAATAATTTGAGTAAATAATGATAAATTTCATTATAATAATATTTAATTAATAATAACTTACTGAAGAATAACATTAAAAATTTGAGCAGATAAATTGGTCTTGATATTAATTATCTTTATGTTATTTTCATTTGGCTGAATATTTTCTAACTCTTTACGGAAATATTGTGCCGTAAATGATTTTCAATTTTAGTGATTACATTGCGATCATCTTTCTCATTAAGAAGTTCAATAAAGTTTTGAGATAACTAATCAAAGAGTTTTAATGCCATTTTTTATTTTATTTTTGAAGGTAATGATGGAAAGATGACAAATAAAATGTTTAAATATACATATATACTGTACGCATGTATGACAATTTATATTACGTTATGACAAAATTAGTAACTAAAATATGAGAGATAAAAATTAATAGGATACAGATTTAATACGATGTTATAATTTTCCTGATAATTTACTTCATAATTGAATTGCAAACGATATGATTTTTTATAGGTTTTCATAATGACGTTCAATAGGACTACAACAATTAAGATTATCTAAAGTAAAATTTGATTTTGATTTTTTTTTTTTATTCATCAGTTTTAAAAAAGAAATCACTTCCAAATTTTGGAATCAAAACTATTTTGATTACCTTTTAATAAATTGGGAATTTTTTACTCGACTAAGAATTAAATTTCGAATTTTACCATTTTTTAACGAGAAAATGAAACTATCCATTTTGCACGTGTATTATCACATCCTAAAGAATCATAACCTCCAATAATTCAACAACGAATATTGTTTAGATTGACCATGGCAAATATTCCCATCTCTAATCTCATTTAAAATTGCCATAATGTTTCGCGGTCCATCCATGTAGAAAAATAATTGATTTTACCGGTGTTCAGGAAGTGCTATACGTTTTTTAAGAAGAGATACCAGTGCAGATTCAGAGAATAATCTGTAATAACACCATCACAATAATTTTCTAAATTTTTAAAATTATTTTTGTTAATGATAAATAAGAGAAAAAATGTCCTTCTAACCAAGAAGCTTTAGTATCAATATGAAGTGTTTCTAATTTTTTTTAGTTAACTCAAAGTTCAAATTCATCAATAGCCAACATTAAATCAAAAAATAAACCTCGTTTCAACATTTTCAAATTAACAATCCCATCTCTCCAATAAATATATCTATATAAAAATTAACAATAATTTGCTTTGTGAGTGAATTATGATAATAATAAGTAAATTTTCATTATAATAATATTTTTATAATTAATAAAAACTTATTGAAGAATAACATTGAAAATTTAAGCAGATGTACTGATCTTGATAATAATTATTGTGATGTTATTTTCGTTTGGCTGAATATTCTCTAATTCTTTTACGGAAATATTGTGACCGACATTTTAATATATTAGAAATGTAACCATTTAGAGGTTAAATAAGGCTTTGAGATAACTTATCAAAAAGTTTTTAATTCCATTTTTTATTGTTGTTGAAGGTTACAGACGAATTAAAATATTCCATGAATACCATATATGTATATATATTTTGTTGATAAAATCAATCCGACAATCAAATTACTTAAATTATTCAACTGCATATCGGGAATTTTTTACTCAACTAAGAATTGAATTTTGAACAAAGAATTATATCCATTAACTTTCATTACGACCACTGAGTTAGTATAACCACGGCAAATATTTGGATCGTGCTCAGATATTTTTTTAAAAAAAAATTTTTAATTGGGGATTGAGGTTTATTAAAACTGAAGAATAAATATAATAAATAAATATGTAATATTAGGTTAATAAGTGGAAAATAAATTATAAAACAGAAATTAAATAATTACGGAAATGGATTTTTTGAGTAATATTTATTTATTGTTAAAAGTCAAAAAGAAGAACAAAATATTTAGATTAGAAGTGATACAAGGCCCAAAAAAATATTTGTGTATGTGTTATGGTATTTCCCTATTTATTTTAATCCAACCTTCCTTTCGCCAAGCATTAAATAATTTAATGATAGTTATTGGAAACATGTTACTAGGGTAAGCGGTGAGGGAAAAACATTGTGAGAATGAATTTAAATCGAATTTAAAATTGGGTAAAAATGCATTTTTTTTCAAAGTTTATACTTTAATTGATCAAATGATATCCAATTAATTTATCTTAATTTTTATTAATTAAATTTATTAATAATAATAATAACGTGACTTGAAAATTTTTAATGAAATTTATAATAATATAATAATAAATAAATAAGCATATACCTTCAAAATTTCAGCCACGTATTTCAAGTCGTATGTATTATTAATATTATTAACTTTCTAGAACAATATTCATCAGAACACTAGAATTGTGTAATTATGCAAGGAAGAAACATTTTTTGAGGATTTATTGTCATTAATGTCTTTATTGTTCTTTATAATGCGTGACAAAAAGAAACGCCAAGAAAAAAAAAATCTTAAAATTGTTAGGCATTTATTTTACCTACAGAGTGACGTTGATAATTCGGATTAAGAAATCACAATAAAAAAAATAATAACCGAAAATGGAAACGAAAGGGTAAAATTTGATGCATTAAATATTTTCATTTGAACTTTATTTATTGCGGACGTGGAAATACCAATTAATTCAAAAGGGAAAATTCGACAAAGAATATGATAACGATGATGATGATGATGGTGATGATGATGACGATAATTATTATTATTATTATTATTATTATTTAGTTTTTATTTTGGTAAAAAAAATTCAATTCATGGGGAAATTTTCATTTTTGAAACAATAAACATTAAAAGCCCACGGCAACTGCGCATATCACCAATCATATAAACAAATGAAACTCTCCTGCGACACAATCATATATGTTTATGCAACTCCCCGAATTGAGCCACATCTATTTCTATTTTATTGAACCTTATTTATGACACTATTTTAAATCTCTTTGTCAAGTTCAAAAATTATTGAGAATCCATGATTGGTGATTAGATGAATAAAAATGTACCCACGAATGTTATAAATGAATAAGTAAAATAATAAAAAAAGAAAGTAAACAGGTTTATTTAAACTAATAAAGATTTCTGACGGATTATTTCTTTTTTTATATTATTATAGATATAATGAAATATGGTATAATGAAATATGGTATGAAAATATTAAGCCACTACCAATAATAGCAAGAATAGCCGTGTGAAATGATTTGCCATATTTTTCCATTAAATGTATATTTACTATACTGGAGTGTACACGGGGGTTTTTTTTGAAGGAAATAATGACGACGAAATTTGATTCATCATTGTTATTTATTTCCGGTATACCAACTCAGTGAAAAATTCTAAGCATGATATTTCCGTATTAATGAAGCCACCCGAAGAGGATTTGCCACAATGAGCCATTTAAATAATTAAAGGAATTTAATTTTTTCGAAATGAAATATTTTTTTCTCAGTTCTAACTCGGTTCTTTTTTTTTTCTGTATAGATGCAATGATCAGCCACATTATCTTGATATCTTAACCGCTAACATTTGTTTTTTTTTCTATCGGATATTTCTGTTTCGGATGTGGTCATTGTTCATAGCAAATATGGAGTTGTTATGATTATTTTATAACTTAATTTGGTAATTCTCTGTTTTACAGAATTCTTCATGTGGCTTGAATGTGGCTTATAATTGTTCTGCGGGCAAACAAAACATCTTTGATTATTACCAAAATTTGTTCTTCCAAAAGATCCAGGGATTAATGAGATTAATGAGTTTTGAATGCGATTTGATGAGACTTATGAGATTAATACTAGTAGAATAATATATATGTAAAATAAAAGTATAGCGCATACATGTTTCGGAAAACACCTCGTTTTTCTAAATTCTTTTTATACATAAATCGCCAAGAAATAGAGTAAAATTTTATAGAAGGCTGTGTTGAATGTAGTTAAATATGTTTAGTGTGTGTTTATTGTGTGTTTAATTGTGAACTGTTTAATTGTGAGCTGTCTAATAATAATTTGTGGATTACATATTTGATTTATAAAAAGTTGTGAAAAATTGTTCGAGAATTCTAATACGAGAAAATAATAATAATAATAACAATGATAACAAATGAAACTAAATTACAATTCAATTACATTCAATTGCATTTTATTTTGTTTTGTAAATTTTTGCCCCTTTTAAATTTTCTCTCCGGGTTTTATAATAATAACACAAAGGGAAAATTATTTGGTCAATAGAAGATAACAGATAACTGTGCGTGCGCAATTTATAAATAATATTATCTAATAAAGAAATGTATAACATCAGCCATTAAAAACTCAATTGACGCAAATGACTCCATATCCATCACATCAATGAAATAATAAAAAAATAAGCTGTGCTTTGAAATTTTATAAATAACCAAAAAGGTAAATATTAATGACTTACCGAAATCAACCATAAAAGAAGAATAAAGGGAAAAAAAAAGAGTTATAAACAAAATGCATAATAATAAAATTTTAATTATGTTTCCGCATTTAGAAATTAGATTATAAGGTAACTCAGAGTTGAAACGTAATTTAACTAAATAGAGTTTAGATTATTTAAAACAATAAACAAATTTTAAATTGCAGCTGTTGTTTGTCTCCCCCCCCCTTTTTTTTTTCTCTCTCTCTCTTTTTCTTTGAAACACTTTAGGAAAATCCAATTAGGTTTGTTCAGGAATTGAAACTTTCTAAATATGTACATTTCAATAAAAGCTATTACACTCTTCTCCTTATGATTTTGTACGAACTTGAAGTACAACAATTCAAAATTCCTAATAAAGTAATTGCCTATTTTCTCAATGAATCAGATGATTCTTTCTCCCGTGTCAATAACAATAACAATAATAAAAGTAATAAATTACAACAATAATAATAATAATTACAACGACCACAATCATAATAACAACAGCGTATTGAAAATCTTTCAAATTTTTATGATTACATGAATTGCATGAACAATGGTCAGATAAGAAAGAGTATTAAAATGGTGAAACATGTGATTTTAACCCATGTGGTTGGGAAGTTTACAAGTTATGTAACTTTCTTATGTTAAAATAAAAACAAAAAACAATCAAAGAAAAAAAAAAGAATAAATAAAAAAATAAAAATAGAAAAAAAAAAATAATAATTTTTACATTCATTGATTACCATTTATATTTGAGACATTATTGAAATTGGTAAGATGAGTGATTGAATGAATATTGATAGAAATTAGAAAAAAAGGATTGAACATTAAAGAAAAAAAGAAAGAATAATAATACGTAATAATAATATAATAATAATAATAATAGAACCATAAACTAGGGGGACAATTCATAAAAAACGAAAACAGGTTTATACTCGTAATTTATGAGTTATATCATTTGAAAAATTGTCATTATTTGTCAGGTGTGCCTTCAAGATTTAAATTTATAATTATTTATTCTGGAAATTTATTAGATAAGATAAAATTCAGGAGTACTTTCTTTAACATATGAAAATGATTTGATTCCAAGTGTATTAAAAAATATATATTTTTTTATGTCGTTGTATCAGTTTCTTTTTATATTCTTTTTCTTATTTCAAAAGAGAAAGTTCATTTAATCATATAATAAATGTAAAAAAAAAAAATTGATATTTAAAGAATATTAAAAAAAAAAATATTAAAAAAAATGATTACAAAAATGATTAAAAAAATGATTAAAAAATGATAAGATATACACTATTGAAAAACTGGTTATAATGCAAGATCAAAAAAAAAATAATAACTTAAATTATTATAATCTAGAGAGAGAACGAGAAAAAGGAAAACCAGAATAATAATAAAAATACACTGCACGTGTTTGTCGCAGTAAATGAATTGCATTCTAGATTTTTCTATAAAAAAAAAAATAAAAAATAAACATTCTCGATCATTTTTAATCATCTGACGGATTTAAAGATAGATTGATTTTAATTTCATAAGATAGGTTGATTCCAATCAAATACACCACCGATTCTATTGTCATATTATTTTATTTTATTTCTATAATTGAAAGGAGGTAACATGACGTAAACAAAGGATGCAGCCTTTTTTTTTTCACGTCGGTAACAAAAATTGGAGATAAACAAATTCCTTATTAAACAAACGAGAGAAAAAAAAAAAAAGTAATTAGGATAAAAGGAATTTATTTTGAATAAAGTTAAGTTTTGATATAAAGAAGTAAAGTTCCCAAAAAAAAATCATTTGAATAAAAAGTAATTAAGCTTCAAAAAAAATTTTTTTTTAACCAAAATTCATACAATTTTTAAAATGATCGGGCGTGTGTAATTTACGTGTGTAATTCTTTTTTTGTTAGAGTCTATACCAAATATCGAAATCTCAAGGTAATCTTTAAATATTGTTACTTTTCTTATGATTGTTATATGATTAACTTTTTACGATTGTTATGTGATTACATTTAGATAAAAAAAAAGTTTTAATGATCAAAAATTTTAAATTATTATCTACTATTATTTATTATTATTTATTATTCTTTAATTATCATTATTATTTCACTTAGAACAAGTAAGGCGCATACATTTAGAGACGATGTCGATTAAAAAGTTGATAATTGACAATGAAAAATTACTCAATTCTAGTTTTAAAAAAAAGATGCATGCAATTTGAACCTTTTTCTTTTATAAAGTTTAAAAATTGGGGGATTTTTTTTTTCATAGAAGAAAGAAAAAATCGTTTGACAATGTATTTAAATCTTTCGGTTTTTTTTTTTAAAAAAAAAAAAAAAATACACACGCATATAAACATACACGCATACAAACTTCCGTTGTTTTATAATAATTCTTTTAAGTTTACCTATTGTTCTTTCATATAAAGTTACTCATCAAAAAAGAAACTTCCCTTATATTTTTTCTTTTTTTGGTTTCTTTGAAAAAAAAGGGAACTTATCTAACTACAGAACAGAGAATAGAGATCGCAGTTTTGGTTATTACCATTATATTATCAATTACTTAAATTAATTAAAATTATGTAACTTAAGTTTCCTTTTCCCCCATTATCGTGATTGATTTTATATAAACTATATTCGAAATAAACCCAAACTTTAATTCAACCAAAAATTGCGTAACTTTCAAAAAAAAAAAAATTCAATTAAGCCTGAAAGGCAGGATCAAAATATTTAAGATTTTTTTGTTTGACGCAAATGATCTCATTTTAGTTTAGTATTCAGGTTTATCGCGGTCAGATGACTCAGGGACAAGGAATATTATCATGTGATTCAATTTAAAAAGAAGAGAATAAGTAATGATTGTTTTTAATTAATAATTTTACTTTTTTTAAAAATTATTTATTTATTTATTTATTAACAAATACATAGATACATCTGTATGATTTATAATAATAATGAAACACACATCAATCTATCTATCTATTTATCTATCTAACTAAAACTATTCTATAAGACTATTTAAATTACTATTTATAATAATACTACATTTAATAATAACTAGTTAATTAGTTGTTTAGTAAGTAGTAGTAAATATATTATATTTACAAAGGTATATAGAAAATTATTTTTTTTTAACAAAAGAAAAGAATGAATTATTGTTATTATTATTATTATTTGTATTTATGTGTACACACATAATATATTATATATATATATAACAGATAAGATAATAAATAATAATAAAAAATATATAAAAAAATAGAAAGATGAAGAATATAAGATAAAGATAAAGATAAAGACAAAAGATAAAGATTATTATTCCCACTTGCATATATTTTTATATATTTTTATATTGAGAGGTACTGTATAAATATATATATATATATATAGAAAACTCATTACAAAATACAAAATTGTGTATACTGTATAAATATATATATGTATTCATATACATATTTATTTTTTTATTTTTTTTTTATTTTGTTGGGTATTCTTTCTACAATGAAAAATTGTTGTTTTTTTTTTAAAATGAATAATATTTTACATGCTATTTTTTTTCTTGTTTTGTGATGATTTCGTTTTTTTTTTTTTTTTTAAAAAAAAAAAAATATGTAAATAATAAATAATAATAATGATGATGACTTTTTGTAAAAAAAAATATATATATATGTATATAACAATAATAAATTATTATAATTATTATTATTTAAATCTGTTTTTTTTTTTTTTTATAGTCTAATATTATAATAAACATGTGATGATGACTGATTGAATATGATCAACATAAAATGAAATTAATCTCCCCCACACGTTTAATATATATATTTAATAACACATGAAAATTTTTTTTTAAAAAAGAAGGTATTAAGGGTAAATCATTCCCTGTATTATGGTTGTGGTTGTATTTGGAGGTGGTAAAAACATTGATTTATTATAGGAAGGAAAATGAGGGAAAGAGAAGTTGGTATCCGAAATAGAAGAAGTAGAAGAAGATGACAAAGATGATGAGGATGATGATGATGATGATGAAGATGATGAGGATGAGGATGAGGATGAGGAGGATGTAGGGAAAGTCCATTGTTGTAATTGTTGTTGTTTTGAAAAGAATGGTGGAAGTAAAACTTGTTGTTGTTGTTGATAAAATTGTGATTGTGTATTAACATTTGTTGGAGTATTTATTGAAGAATTCGTAGAACATGTAGAATTTGAAGAAGTTGAAGTTCTTCTTCCATGATGATCTCGTAATGTCTCCGGAAAACTAAATCGTTCATATAATTCATCAAATGAAATTGTGGAATTTGCCGAAGTAGGAAGTTGTGGTTCTTCATCGTCTTCTAGTTTATTATCAAATTCTGAATCTATTTCCATTTCATCATCAATATAATGATCTTCATTTTGATTATTATTTATGTTTCTATTTATGTTATTATTTATTAAATGATGTTGTTGAATAAAATTGTGAGATGATAATGAAGAAGAAGTTGGGTTGATAACTTTAATAGATAAATTTTTGTTATTATAATTTCTAGGAGTTTTAGGAGTATTATACATTGAAGGTTTTAATGAACGACTATAAGTTCGTTGACAAGAAGAAGAAGAAGAAGAAGAAGAAGAAGAAGAAGAAGAAGAAGAAGAAGGTGGTGAAGGAGTTATAGTTAAACAACGATAATTATGATGATGATGATGATTTGAAGAAGCTAAATGTATTCGTGGACGTGAATAAGTTCTTTGTTGTTGTGGAGCGATAGAAGTAGGAGAATTATGATGATGATGGCTGTGGTGGTGATGATGATGATGTAATCTCAATGATGATAATGATGATGATGTTAATGGATGATGGTGATTATTATTATTATTATTATTATTAAAATTTAATGATATAGGGGAAGGAATGGTATTTGTTGATAAATGCTTTAATAATGGAGTTAAATGTAATTCAAGATCTGATTCTTGTATACGAAGATCATAATCCAACAAGGAAAGTAATTGTCTTTCCATAAGATTAACTTTCATCACCGAATAAACACCCGAAAATTTAGCCCAATATTTATTTCTCGGAGAAGAATCATTTAAATATTTTCTATTAAATAAATAAATCGAAAATGGAAAATTGGAGTTAGCCAAGAATTTGAGTAAAAAAGGATTTAAGATAAATTTGGTAATTCATTTGTTGAATAAAAAAAAAAAATACTTACGATGCGACTATTAGAGTGGCAAGAAATACTCTATGACGGGTACAATGCATTCCTAAAAATAAAATAAAAATTTGGTTAGATAAAAATACCCAAAGAGAATTGAGAGATTTATTTATATGGATTATATAAAATTCGACTTTTAAAATTAGCCCGAATCAGGTGAAAAAATGAATTTACCAAAAATGAAACTAAAATCTATTAGAAAATAATAAAAAAATACTAACCTCTAGCAAGTTTAGGTAATTTATTTCGTAATCTCGCTAAATATACTAGAGTTGATAGAAAAGTTGCAGTTGAAACATTTGATTTCATTACTAATCTATGTATAAAAGTTAATAGAGGAGGTAAAGGTTGATGATCATCTTCGCCCAATGTATTATTATTATTATTAGTTTTTGTCGTTGTTCCATTTGTTGTATTTATTATATTTACTGAATTTATTGGTTTTATTGATTTTGTTGTTACTGTTGCTGATGTTATATTATTATTATTATTATTTCCTTTGATATTCTTTGAATTTAAATGTGGTGGAGGATCGCAAGGAATTACTTCTGTTGCTTTCATTGCAACGTGAGCTAAAAAATTAAATAATAAAAAATAATGATGAATACATTAATAATTAATTAATTAAAAAAAAGAAATAAAAAATATAATTATTATTTTTTTTCGTAAAAATACTTACCGATCATACGAGTAGTAATAGGACTGCTCACTAAAAGTTTGATGGCCGTTGGATTTGTCATTATTTTTTTTTTTATGTATATATAATTTTTTTTATCTTTATCTCAATTTTTTGAACTTTAAAAATACTTAAGAGAGAAAAGATTTTTTTTTGATCTTGGGAGAACGAAAGAGGAGAAGATAGATTTTTATAAGATTTTAAAATTTTATTTGAGAAATCAAAAAAACTGTTTGGAAAGTAATAATTATTGGGGGGTATTTATTTATTTTTTTTTATAAAACGTTTTATTATATACTAAACTAATTTAAAATAATAAATAAAAAAATCGCGTTTTTGTGTTATGGTTAACTGTATAAATTAATAATGTATTAAATTTTTTATTGTATATATAAAAAAAAAATTTTATATAAATATATTTTTTTTTTGAGAGAGAAGTAAATTTTTCACCCTTTATATGAATGATTCGAGCTATTCATTAACTATTATTTTTGTACAACGGATATGGTAATTTTAAATTTTAAAGTAACATGAATAAATAAAAAAAATTTTTTAATTAAAAAAATTTAATAATCGGATTATTTATTTTATGCAATTATTTTATATTATTATTTATTCTATTTTATTTTATCCAATTATTTATTATTTATTTTATTATTTATGAATCAAAATTTTTGAATCAATAAATCAAAAACAGCAAAAACAGAAATACAACAGCAATAAAGAAATCAAATAAATAGACTAAACTAAAAATTTTTTATAATGATAATTAATTAATTTTCTATTTATTATATAGATTTACTTATTTATTGGGAAAATTAATTATTGTAGATTATTTAATTATTATTATTATTATTTAATTTATTATTTAATTATTAATATTATTATTATTTTGAATATTTTTTGAGCGTCAAACGCTAATTATCAAACCATTAATCAAACCATTAATCAAAACTATTAATCAAACTATTATTAAATCAAACCATTAAAATCAATCAATCAAAAACTATCAATCAAAAAAATATCAAGCATAATGTCAGTCTCAGATGAGTCGTTACAATTAATTGATCAAACACAGTATTTTCCCCTTCGTCCCTTTCTTCTTTCTTCTTTATTCGTTCTTTTTTCTTTCTTCTCTGTCGTTTTCAATTCTCATTTTCAAAACTTATCCCCCTTTAAGTATCATATATTATAACAATTCCTTCTTTCACATATTGTATCTATAAAATTTTGTTTCTTTATTTTTTCTTTTTATTTTTACTTTTTTTTTTCAGTTTTCCGTTTTCAGTTTTCGGGTTTTTAATTTATTTACTCTTGTCTTATCCCTTTCTTATTTTTCAAAAATAAAACTCCTTTTCAAATAATACTCCTTCCGACAAAATACTCCTTTTTTTTTTTTAATAATAATACTTTCCCCTCTTCGCCCCTCCTTCAATACTTTATTAATCCTTTTTTTTAAAAATTTGTATTATTATTAAAACGATGACGATGATGATGATTATTACTGCTTTGTCATTAAAAAAAATATCTTTTATTGTCAAAAAGTAGTAATTATTATTATTATTATTATTATTTGTTGATATAAATTTATTTATTGAATATATATGTATATATATGTATATATTTGTGTATATATGTGCATATATATATCTCTATATATCTCTCTCTTTGTGTATATATATCTCTCTCTATGTATATATATATCTCTGTGTATATATATATCTCTGTGTATATGATTCTATAAATGGTAAAACTTTATTATAAACTTTTTTTGCCTCATAATAATAATAATAAAAACAATAATAATAATAATAATAAATAATAATAATAATAATAATAATAATAATAATAACAAATAATAATAATAATAAATAAATAAAAATAATAATAAAAATAATAATAATAATAATAGGAATTTTAATAATGACGCAAGAAAAATTTCTTTTTTATTTTCTCACAACGAACAACGCCTTCTAATGATTAGTCATTATTTTTAGTTTTACTATTATTCTTGGGTAATTAATTATTATTCATATTCTTATTAATTATTATTAATTATTAATGCTTATTAAATTATTTAATTAGTAATGCTTTTAATTATTTAACTTTATTTTTTATTATTATTACTAAATATACTCATTTAAATTCGCGACATTAAATAATCATTAAAGTAATAAAGTAATAAAGTAATTAAAGCGTGAGTAAAAAAAAAAAAATGAAAAATCACTTGATACAAATCGACACAATTAGGATGAATGAATTTAAAACTTTTTATCATTACTATTAGTCAATTATTAGCCAATAATTAGTCAATTATTAGTCAATTATTAATTAATTTATGACCTGAGATGAGATGTATCAGGTTTTAATACCCTAATTGTAAAAAGAACAACAAATTTCTAATTAAAATTAATTCTAAAATTTTCTTATTAAATATTTCTTTCTTATCATTCGTCTCCTCGGTCACAGTCGATCAAAATTTAAAATATTATTTGATATCATCATCATTCATATTATGCGATTATTCTCTAGGTTAAATGGGTTAAATGAAATTTAGTTTTTTTTTGTTTTTTTTTGTGTTTTTGTGGAATTACCAAAATTATTTGTTATTAGATAATACGATTTTAAATATAATATTACTGTATTTATTTGATTATTATTATTATACATCTACGGTTATAATATTATCTATTACTACTATTATTATTATTATTATTATTATCTAATATCGAGTATTATTTATTCGATTATTTATCAATTATTTGATTGGATATTGTTACTTTTATTAGATTTTTTTATTTTATGAATTATTTTTATTGGGACAAAATATTATATTTATCTAATAATAATAATTATTATTATTATTATTATTTTATTATTATATAATTAAATATTCTTTATTATTTTGTTTATTTCTTTATCTATTATCTAATACATATTCTTTATTATTTTTTTTTTTAGCCATATAACTTCATATAGTTTTCCGCCAAAAAAAATATTTATATTTCTATTTATATTTAAGTTTTTTATTTGTATTTACGTATATATTAAAAAAAAAATCCATTTTATTTTAATTACTTTAATTACTTTAATTACCTTAAGTTACATATTAAATCACTTTAATTACTTTAATTATTATTATTATTATTATTGTCATTAAAAATTTAACAGTTATTATTAGTATTTATTTATTTATTTATTTATTTATTTTACTTATTCTATTTTATTTTATTCTATTTAAATTTTACAGTTTTACAGTTTATTATTAATATTTCAAAAAAATATAATTACAGATGAAACGTTATTGAACAATTTGAAACGTGTGGGTTGGCAGAAACATGCTAGAAACATGCTAAAAAGGTTCACAGAAATGTACTTGAGATATAAAGAACGAGAATGATGACTAAGTTATACTAGTTAACAAACTAGTTACATTCTTTTTTTTTTCTATAAAAAAATTAAACGTTCTATATGTTCTATGGTATTCTTTTTATTCTATCGTGTTACTAAAAAAAAAAGATTATTAAATATCTCCAAAAATATATTTTATCCCCAAAAAAAATTTTTGCGATAATCAAATTAATCGATAAATCTTATTGAAAAAGTTATTTTAAGATATTGGAACAAGTTACAAACCGGAATTCCCAAAGAAAAAAGGAATTCTCAAGGAAAAGGTTAATTACTATAAATAAGTTCCCATTAATATTATTGGTAATTCCATATTATTAAAAATATGATAGTAATTAATAATTTTAATTACTTTATTTTTTTTTACTTGCATTAGAAAGAACTGATTTAAAGAAATAATTTAAAGAGAATGAATTTTTAAAGAAAATGATTTAAAGAAAAAAATGATTTAAAGGGCTGGTTCAAAAAATTGATTTAAAGAACTGAGTCAAAAAAAAAATTAAAAGGAACCGAGTCAAAAAGAATTGATTTAAAGAAATTTAAAGATGAAAATGATTAAAATTCTTAGATTGTCTACATTTTAACAAACTTAAATGGCTAACAAATTATTAATTTTAGTATATTTTTTGTTTTTTTTTTGTTATTTTTGATCCAATTATACTTTTCTGTTCCGTTTTTGTAATTAATTTCCTCACGTTTTCCACTTACATATTTGATACTGTAAATTCCATAAGGTATTCAAAATACCTGTAAATTCCACAATGTATTCAATAATGTATTCCAATAGTTATTCAATATTCTATATTTATCAAATATGATTCATTATTTCTCTCCTTTCTTCTTTTTGTTTTTTCCTTTCTTCTTTTTTTTTTTTTTTCCTTTCTCTGTTTTTTCCGTTCCTTTTTTTCCTTTCCTTTTTTTCTCCTTTATTTTTCCTTTCTTTTTTTTTTATTTTCCTTTTCCTTTTTTTCCTTTTCCCTTTTTCTCTTACCTTTTTTTTTTCTTTTCTTTATATCGCCTATATAATATATTTGATATATGTTTTAGATCAATAAAAGAATCACATGAATTATGATTCATCGTGACTGTTATATAAATTACTATAAATTATTATAATAAATTACTATAAATTACTATAAATTACTACTGTACAAATAATAATAATAATAATAATAATAAATAATAATAATAATAATAATAATAATATAAAATTTATAATCTCATTGGTGAAATTATAAATAAGTATATATATATAAAGTAGAGAAATGTATATTTAATAACTGCCTGTAATGTATATCATCGTATGATTTTATGTTGTATGTCGTATGTAAGATTTGCTAAATGTATTTGTGTTGTATATATATTTTTTATGTATGTTAAATATATATATTAAGTAAATAAGTCATAGATATTATGTATAACCAAAACTAGTTTGTCTCACCGAGTTTAAATTGTTTAAATTTCAAAGATGTATTAAATTTTGCCTAAATTGTTCATTTTTTTTTCCCTTAGCCACTACTTCTTATATTACCACACATTATAATACATGTCCATTTATTATACACTATACAGATTTATATACATTTATTTACATATATATTTATATATTTATATTTACTATGATATTCTATATATTTATACATATTTATCTACATC